TTTCGCAAAAGCCTGCATTCATTTTTCGGCTTCGTTTTCGTATACGATTGTGACATTTCAGCATCCAACTGGGATCTAAACTATTTGATCATCACGGCCTCGTTTTCGGTCATTTGGGGACTGGATTAATGAATTTCTTAACTTTGATAAATTCCAGCATAGTGAAAATGAAACATTCGCCTTTGGATGAACTAAAAGAGGCCAAAGCCAAACAGGATTCCATTTTGGAACGTTTGGCTGCAAAGCGAAGGCAACGACACAACCTACTCGCCGGTATGACTATGACAGGAACTTTGAAGTTCCGACCAAATGCAGCGTTGAGTAAAGTTATGAAAAAAACGCATTCCTCCGTGAAACCTACTTTACCTGATTCTGCTTTGACTTCAACCATCCCGGAAGCAAATCGAACAAATGAAAGCGCCTTGCCAGGAACTAAAGATATCATCTCAGGTAAATTGAAATTTTTATGCCCACAGCTCTCATTGACTATTTTCGCTTTGATGCTGTTTCCCCCTTCAAGAACCCATATATGAATTTTGCTAATGGTGGTGTATGGATTTCCACAACACGATAAACGTGACTCATGTATCTTAAGTTCTTTATTTCACAGTATCAAAGAGGAATGTTCTATTTTGATGTTAATGTTCTGACTCATCTTTCGTTTGACATGAATGAAATCCGTCACTATATGACTGTCTCTACCTATTCATTCCAGTGAGTTTCAGGCTGAAAGATAACGTAATCAGTATTAGATCCGTGAAGGAAAACGTCTGGGTTAGCCATGACGATGAAAAACCAGAAACAAGTTTATTTTTTTTGGTGACGACGTTTCGACCCTCTTGGAAGGCCTTTATCAAATAAAACTTGTTTTTGGTTTTTCATCGTCATGGCTAATCCAAACGTTTTCCTTCACGGATCTAATACTATGAGCATGACGCACAATTACTTCAATAACATCCGTTCCGAATTTGGATCTGATATTGTGATAACATAATTAGGGCTGAAAACCAGACATGAATCTTCGCGTGGTTGTTATATATGTGTTGCCAATAAGAGAGAGCTTCTCTATCAAGAATCGAGTGAACCTTCCACATACTCCGACATGCTTTGAGGTACTCTGTTTTTTCAGTTTTATGTGATTAGCTCATGTGTGGGTATAATTTAGTCACAAAATTTTGCTGTTTACTCCTAGCAATAGACGGGTAGGTCCTTGTAAATTGCTACCAAATCCAAAACCTTGGATGGTACAAAGGCTTTGGACAGTAACAATGCCGCATTTATCCACCTATCAAGCGATGCCATCACGCCATTTCTTCTGTACGATGCCGTTCAAGTAGAGGCCGTCTCGAAAGAAGAAACTTGAGCTATTGCCTACCGTGAAAACCACCTGCAGTTTTGGTCCCGATAGTCTTTTATCTTCCCTTCGGAGATATGAGGCCTATTATCTCAGTGAAATATTCACATTATTTTTGAACAATTCCTTAAAAACCTGCTCTATACCAGACTGTTGAAAACCAGTAACAATTGTACCCGTTCCCAAATCCTCTACTTCAAACGTTCTAACCAAACGCTTTCGTCCTATCGCTTTAACCTCGGTTGGACTTCAACTAACAGAACGTGTTGTTCTTAAACGCATTCAGTCCTCCATTGATGTCCCGTATGGTTCTCTTCAGTTTACCTATAAACCAAACAGAGGCATGCTAGGTACAGTTTGATCTCTTTTATATAAACTTTCCAAATTCTTGAATGACTGCGAAATCTCTTCGTTGTGTGTTTCTGGACTACTCTTCTGCTTTTGATTCCATTCCTCGTTCCCTTCTTCGTAAATTGGAGACCTTTAGTTACTTCTCCGGGAGAACTCAGTGTACCAAGTTAGGTCGGGAGAAATCCAGTTCAGTTCAGTTTGAACAACCATTAACCATGCACTTTCGTGCGCCGGTTTTGGTTGCTGTCTTTTGG